TTACTAGAAGACGAAGTTCATCTTGAGAAATGTGATGAATATGCAAAACAGTTTTCGAACAGTTTGTTTACACAACTATCTACCATTTCACTTTATACAAAAGTGTAGAAATATACTGTCAAATAGAGCAAACAAAATGACGACTATATAAGTTGATTATAACGGGCACATTGAGGGTGGTAATTGACACTTATCTTCATAAAATGATCCGTTATTTTTCACCGTAGTAGCTAACTACTTTCTGGTGTTTCTGAGAGGTTAAGGAAAACGTCAGTGGAAATCCTGCATGAATTACAAACAGAAATAAAATATACTAAACTGTGTGTCAGATGAAGAATTGATATACCGTGAAACCTGATTTGTATAATCTTGCCTATTCCGAAAAGTTCATTGACAAATAGTGTTTTGAAATGATTATTGAAAGATTGATGCTTGAAGAGAAGAATATTATTTACAATATAAATATGCTGGGCATATACACAAAATTTTGATATGGTTGTGTTCTCTGAGCTGGATAGTTAATTTGCGAATCTTCAAATGGAAGTATATGCTGAAGATGTCGCCTAGTAGGGCGATGAAAGCTTCACAAATTAACTATCCAGTCCAGAGAACACAACCATATCAAAATCATCCACCTGAGCTACAAAAAATTTTAAATAAAAGGTTAGGAGTTCAAGAAAAGAAATGAAAGAGATCTGTCATAAATCTGCTACCAATCAGATCATGAAAATACTCTGGAAGTCACATTACATAAATCAAAATAAAAGGAATACGCCTCTAGTTAAAGATTCTTGCTACCTGCTCATATGTCTGTTGATGAGGAATTGACAAGAACAACAAAGGAATATTTAGGTAGTGTCTTATTATTAAATCCTATGAACTTAGCTTCACAGGAGCATTTCCAGGGACCTATAGGAAATCTAATCCAACAGTACAGCTTTAATGATAATTTACAGAAACAGCACTCTTTGCTGACCTATATCTTTCCAATATGTGTAACTTTCTCACTGATATTCACGAACACTTTCCAGATGATTGGAGTTGTAAAACTGTGAAGAAGTATTCACATATCAAGTAAGTTGAGTAGTAAGTTGTAACTAAATAAACACTGTGGGTGATGAAACCGTGTCAAAACATGTGAATTTTCATCAATTTACCACTCACAAAAGAGTGGGTTTGAGATAAATTTCATATCACTTTGACGTAACGTGAATACTGGTGTGATCCAAGAGGTGGAATGTACGAACGCATACTAACAGACGGCATTTACAAGGTAGCACTGAAATATTCAAAGTCGGATGAAGCATTCTGAGGTTGACAGTATCCTCTGTAGGGGAATTTCTAGCGAGCTCAGTAACAGAACAGGTATTTGAATAAAAATTGAAGTTAATGAGATGATAGAATAACAGTATGTTATAAAAAATACAGAATTACTTATTTGAATTATTCAGTTCCTTAGTTATACATTTAAAGTTCACTACTACAAATTATTAATATAATCCACAATAGTGTTCACTGCTGAAGACGTGTCTACTGTTAGTGCTGTTCACTGGTTGTAGAAAAGTCTTCGGATGAAGATAAAATGTTCCTGCGTAATCCAAAGTATACAACACGGTTTGTAGTGAAACAAGTAGACAGTATAGACTAACGAGAATATGAAGCAGCGGGAAGCAAACTGAATTTTTTTTTTATTGTACTCCACAGTTATGCATATTTCACTATGAATCGTTTTAAACAAAAGTTGCATACAATGTTTCTATTTTTAACATCTAACAACAAAAAATGTACAGTCGTATTGTTACAGACTCCACACCTCTGTCATAATGCCTTCAAAGCCATATTCCACTTTGCATGACTTTTGCAAGAGCAAATATATTGAAAGAACAGAAATACAGATTTGTTACCGTATTGGGATTTCTCTGTGGCTGAAAATAGTGCAAAATTGCATTCTCCCAATACATGGTAGTTAGTAGCAATGGATATGCTGCTCTTAAATCATTTGGAATAATTCACATACATATAAATCCTACTTGATCGGTAACCACTGAACGTTGAAACTTGAGCTCATGCATTCCGAAAGTGGCTGTTGTTACTCCTCCTCTACCATTTTCTATGTGTTAATCGATCTAATCTTTGGAATTTCGTTTCATTTGACACTCTTAATGTATACCTCTCTATATTACTCCTCACTCATGCTCCTGTCCTTAATATTTGACTGCTACTCACCCTATTTTGATCACATGGCTGCACATCAACTTCAGAGATGCTTGGGATTTTTCACCTCTCATTTGTATGCAACAATTTTGTCAACTTTAGGGTATTTAAGTATTTTTTATAATTAAACCAATAAGACTACTAACACTTGTAATTTTATATATATTCTACTCTAAATGTATTAGATTGGAATGATATTGGATTGTGTTTTCAAGTGAAATAGTCAAAGAATTTGATCATTTTTTAATAGTGATATTGGAATTGTTCTGATACTGTTGTGGTTAACAGACTTAAAGTTGAAGTACGTAAAATACTAGAGAACAATTTTCATGGTGACAGTGAAATCATGCGAGTTCTCTTCTTCCTATAATGGTCGACTAGCCTACAGATTTTATTCATCAGACAGGCCCCAACCAAACGAATTGGAGTGGCACTTGCCAAAAATATTGACTTCACGATGCAGTGGTTTAAATGTATTAGTCAACCGATTTGTGACTTAATTTCGTTGGGGAATGAAAGTGTCGAATGCTAGAGATATTCGCGTTTGAATCGTGTAATTCTTTCACATTCTATGTACCATGTTTACTATTCAGTGTTTGAATTTGATAGGTAGAAACATATCTTCAGGAAAACTGTTAGAGGCTTTCCCATTAGCTCATACACTGAGCAATTGTAGTGGGATGGTTAGTTTTGCATTCACCTTCAAGCTTAAGTTTTCATGGACGAAACATTTGATATCCACTTCAAAATGCTCTTCGGTTGAAGTATACACAAAGGTTGTGTGAGGCGTTTATGAGACATATGAAGCTCTTCCATAGTAGTAAACTGGAGAAATTAAACAGAATTGTTTCGAAACTATGTTTCTACAAGTCCAAGTTTCACCTGGAATGAACAAATGGACTTCTGAATAAATCTAGCCACAAGAATTAGCGTGGGGTTAGTTGCATTGCCTATAAATATAAATGTTTTCTTTCGTTGTATTACCGAATGCAAATGTAGGAGACAGATAAGGGTTGAAGCATGTTGACACTGCTAGGTCCAGATTTTCATAACGAAGGTGGTTTCATGGGAGATTCAGAAGTTCAGTGTATCAGGATGTAATGCATTGCTGATTAATTGAACAAATTCAAATCTTTTTGGGTCGAAACACTTCGATGAAGTACTGATTGAATGATTAGAAGAAGATAATAGGACTACATCTGAGCTATTGTTGGGGATTTTGAGGCATGTAAATGGAAGTCCCAAAGACTGACTCTTAACATTCTAACACGTATAACCATCCAACATGCACATCAAGTGATAACAAATATTGAATTTTAGATCAGTTCGTTTTTCCTTCTGAATAACGTTAACTCCTTTCAAACCTAATCTTGTTTCACTCAAAATCACTGGCTGGAAAAGGTAATGACTTTATGTGTGGAATATGTCTTCTACTTCAAAATGGAGCAGCTTCACTCCATACTGTGTAAATCAAAAGGTGACAGTACTAGATGGTCAAACAAACTTCAACTGTAAAATAGATTGCATGAACTAAACAGGCCAGAGAGGCCATCCTACTCATCTTCACATACATGAATACAAGCTAGTAATCCGAAGATGTGACAAACACTCGTTCATATCAATTCACGGAGACGACTACCGACACAAAATCGACTGGGGTGATGCAAATATATTAGAGAAAGGAGACGTTAAGTATCCCAGAGAATCCCTGGGGTTCCCAAAGACAAATCAGTTTCCAGTTAGTCGACATGTTGATATGGATGCAATCTATCAAGCAATGAATAATAAATAGGTGACAGGAGAGAAGGGTCAAAAATAGGGATGACAAGAAGACCAGTTTCCATGCAGGTGAGTACAATCATAGGGAAATCTACGACAGCAGCCAGTTGCAGTAGTCACCAGGAGAGACAAATACTTCTTCATTCATGAGGAATTTCATAAACTCACTTCACTTGGACTTAACTCTGTAGATATTGTCTGAAAGAGTAATGAAAGTTTCGTAGTTAAACCATCAAACCTAGATACCTTCTGATTTGATAAGGTAACCATTCATGCTAGAACTATGGGATAAGTAATTCATGAGAATGGTTTTAGCAGATTTTTAGTGGATATCATTTTCAAGTCCGGAAACAACTGACGCTAAATTTATTAGTTATCATGCACTGGTTCTAAACAAGTGCGTTCCGCAGTTAATTTTTTCACCATTCTAGATTGATTTGTGCACAGATCAATGATGAAGCCACCTTAATGTTCAGTGAAATTTATTTCGGCATAGTCACTCTAATCTTACATATGCAATTTCAAACCCGGAACTACATTAACGATATTTCTGCAGTTACTAAAAGGACTTGCAGGAACGTGATTCGTACAAATATGCGTTCAAAAACAATTCGTTATCACACTAAATCTTCTTTGGTTAGCTTTGTTTTGAAACCATAGTAGATGTGCTATTACCTGTGTTATTTGGTTTAGTTATCTTCATTGTTATTTTGACCCTGAATATGTCCTTTTAACTTGACGTCACCTATTAATTCTTAATAAATTCATATATATTCCTATGACAAGTCTGTGTGTGGTGAATCAGATTGTTCAAAATGTGTTGCGCAAATACATTTCATAACTCAGATAAATTAGGTCTTATTATTGTTTTGTCTTTATTTATGATCAGTTATTAACTGGTTTCATTAAAGTGAGATTCAGCCATCGTTAACATCAGCTAACCATATCTCCTTCTCACCAAAATTAAATACAGTGTAGAAATTCCTCATAAATGCATAGCCAAGAACCCAAACTCCAGGGGGAACTAGATCGTTACTAGCGAATGGTGATGTACACTTTGTGTTTAACCAGTTGACTTCCTGAAAGCGAAAATGAAACGAATTTTACAAATCTCATTGATTCAAAATCTCGAAAATGAAAATTAGACCAACCATAGGAAATGAGTAAATTCACCAACTTTCCGGCTAAAATTGTCTGTTTAGAAGCTGAAACCAATATTTTGCATAGAATTGATGATTATTTCTGTGTAGAATGAATGATAATCGTGGATCTGGATGACACTTGCCGATGTAAGAGAGGAAGAAATGAAACTAAGGAACAGTATTCCGCAAAACTGAAGAAGAGACAGGGAGGTAAATTCAGTGAAATTCTCTGAAGTCTTCTGTTGACAGCATTTCGAGAACTTTCTTTGCCATTTATTTCACCTCACCTGCACTTGCTCACCAAATCGGCAAAGACAAGTTGTAGGTTTTGGTGACTTCAGTGTCAATTCACCAGCTTAATGTCTCCTATGGAGTCAACTACGTGGACTGTACTAACAGGACACTGTGTAAGTAGGCCGATGAACACTTGCCAGCATGGTAGTCCAAGGAATAAGTTAGTACAGGGCAGACAACGACTCAATTCTGGAGGACGATTTTACTTCGTGGCACGTTGCATCAGAACAGAGTTACTTCAAAGTCATATGTGAAATAGGACCAGGCAGTTCGACTGGATTTCGCCTACATTTCACGTAACCAAGGCTTCTGGAATCCACTAGGAAAAACCGGGACTTTGTATTCAAACACGTTTTTATCCATACTCCTTTACTAAAGTGTCTTTAGTGACAATTTTGTTGTGTAAAGAACTTTATGCAGTATTTGCACATTTTTTAATATTTTTTGTAACTCACTTTCAATGCACCGATCTCTGGCTCTTATATGTCATTTCCAAGTAACTACTAATCACTACATAAGTAGTTGGCAATCAACCCTCTCGATTATTCATAAATTTTCGCACATTCTTTATTCTTATTCTGATTACAGCTTGATTCCACACCGTATTTTCAGTACAAGTGTGGAATTTTCAGCATGGATGGTCATTCGATGGATCCCACCTTTGTTGTCAGAAAGCCCTCTATGTATATAAACCCCAAATAACTGTTCAAACTCGAAGTCAGGTCACGAAAAGAGATCTCTTTCCTAACTTAGGCCGTTTCAAAAACGATGAAATTCACCTGTATTTTAAAATGTGTTGCCATTTCTTAAATGCAAACCAGTGGCATTGATGAGGAAATTCCCATCGAGGTGTCGATCACAAAAAATCACAATGTTCAACCGAATTCTCATACTTACCTTAAGCACATAGTTCTTCGCCTCAAGTACATAGCTCCTCTTCTTGAAGACAAACTCAATAGGAGGGAGCAGGTTAATATCATTACAGTTTAATCCATACTCATCATCCCCAACCGGCTTGGCCCCAAGTCTAGAATTAATCGTTTCCACCGTTTCATTCGATCCCAGTATCAAAGATGTGCCAGTAGATATATAAGCAACGCACTTTTCTTTGCAATAATCTACTCCATTTATCTTCATGCTGAACATGGTAAAACAAACACAACTGAAACATTAAACAGTCTATGCAGTGAAGAGTGTATTGATATAAATTAATCCAATCACAAAATCACTCATCCTAATAATCAGACGCAACGGGCATACTTAGTTCTCCTCAGTCATCTCCACACGAATACACAAATCCCTGTCTGTTGATTAACTTTCAGCTCTCATCAGAATTTATTGCACTTTCACCCAATAACAGCCTTCACTAAATCATTCTAATGACTTTGTTCACTGGAATACTCGTGAACACATACAAACCATGCTGAAATTACGCACACCATGAAGGTTTCCACTTGAGATTGCGCAAGGCAACTTGACTTCACACTATCAGCATTTCAAATGGCATTCGTTTCCAGATAAACCACTCAGGTTGTCAACAGATTAAAATCAAACAGATGACACTTTCTTCGATAACTCAATGAAAGTTGGCCAGTAAGTAGTCACGCCAGCATCTGTGTGTTTATCGCACGTAGAAATGGATAGTCAGCATATATGATGTTGTTTGGTAGAAGAGGAATCGGTTTTCATGTGTTGAGGTGATGGTGGTCAAATGACTGCTTTATTTGTACTAGAAGAGAGTATTTTAGGTTCAAACCAACTATAATAAATTAGGGATGCAGAATAACTGTCCACTAATTTGTCATCTGGAATTATCAAGTCATATCTCATCCAATAGACTTTTACTTGAGTGTATGACTTTTATTACTGGAAAAAGTGGGAATTGTTGCGTGTATTAAATATACTTTGATTAGAAGACATAACTGTGACAACCACTCCACATTTTCTGTGACCTTAGTTTTCACGTGAAAAATTGATATCCTTTCGACAACGCAAAAAGAAGACGTAGTTTATCTGAAACGTGTAATGTATTGGCGCAACACATTTCCGACATTCTGATCACACACGTACTTGTCATACACGGTGTTTATAGAAGGCAAGAAGGCACGATTAATTACAATACAGGTCAGATTGTGTACAGGTCAATGTCACAAATAGTGGGTAGGGAGACGCAAAGATGTGGGTAAGAAAGAGAAAAAGAGAAAAACAAAGCAAAGAAGGGATTGAAAATATTATGAAGTAAATTGGTCCTTGGTTCTTTTTATGGCTGGTTGGGCCACGCACTTAAATTCGTTGGAGCCTTAGCCATAAGAAGATTTAAACCTGTGTTATGTGTCCAAAAGTTATTTGTTATGACCTTAAACCTGCCTTGGCAATCCAATTAAGAAACAAGGATCAATTTACTTCATAATATTTTCAATCCCTTCTTTGCTTGATTTTTTCTCTTTTTCCCTTTCTTACCCACATCTTTGCGTCTCCCTACCCACTATTTGTGACATTGACCTGTACACAATCTGACCTGTATTGTAATTAATCGTGCCTTCTTGCCTTCTATAAACACCGTGTATGACAAGTACGTGTGTGATCAGAATGTCGGAAATGTGTTGCGCCAATACATTACACGTTTCAGATAAACTACGTCTTCTTATTGTGTTGTCGAAACTCATAAAAGGAACTAATTACTTTAAATAATATCTTTGCCCATGAAATCATGCAAGCATCAATTGACTACCTTTTGAGTATAACAGTCCAACTGTCTTCGTAAATGACAGGCAAGTTTTCGAAATCTCCAATAAAATATTCAGGATTGACACCACCGATCACCATCTCTCCAACAGCAAGACCGTTTTTCCTACAAAATATCAGACACGAATTTGAGGAATTACTAAAACGGCTAGCAACGTGTTCAACTTCGTGTTTCTGCAAATAGGTGAATAGCAATCAGAATAAACGTTATTTATAAATTTGAAACCCGACCGATAGCTGCTACCTTGACGTGGTGGTCAGGCTTGCATATCGCAATGACCCAACGAGCTTCACTGGCTGGAACTTATGTTCCTGTAGGTCCTACCATGCCAGAAAGGTTGTTTGGATAGCGGTTAGACAAAAAGCAACTACCCAGTCCAATGATATGATTCAAACAAACTCACAAAATATCATGCCGGATCGGTCGGGGCCCGGATTAACAACGACCGCGCTTCCTGCTTCTGTGTCACAGGGCAGAAGTGATAAATATGCTACTTAGACACACCATACAAGAAAGAACAACCAGAAACAGGCCACGTGTGACCGGCCTCAAGCAGTTTACTCTGGGCTCTGCGGTAACGCAACTCCAACCTTTTCTCTCTCCCCTTCTCAGGCGTGAGGCTAGCAACCCCCACCCTGTAAACAAAGCTGCTACAGAAACTTCAGGACGACGAATCTGCTTGCGCCAAAAGAAAAAGTCTGTGTGAGGACATGGAATGATAGAGAAGCTCTCGGGGAATTGAATGAAAACGGAGAACTCTTCGCCGACTTCTGCGCCTTCAATGGACTAGTGATTGGTGGCAGCGTATACAAACACAAGCATATCCACAAGGCTACATGGGTGTCACCAGATGGGCGAACCAAAAACCAAATTGACTTCATCTCAATCTCAACGAAGCGGAAGCACAGCCTACTGGACACGAAAGTAAGAAGAGGAGCAGACGTTGGCTCAGACCACCACCTCGTACAAGGGACAATCCAAATCAAATTAAAAGCTTTCAGAGAAACAGGAGCTGCAGATAGACCACAAGCCAAGTTCAACACTCAAAAACTGAAGGACCAGGACACAAAGGACATCTTTACTGCAAGTATAAAAGACAAAGCCGAGACACAAATCAACACTGGCGAAGAGGTCAGCGTCGAAAAGCACTGAATAACTTGAAGACAGTGTGGAGTCAAACCTGCATGGAAGTTCTAGGCAGAAATAAGAGACAGGACAAACAGTGGCTCACTACGGACATTCGGAGACTGATAGAGGAGAGAGGGATGGTGAAACAAAAGATTCTCCAGTGCACCGACGAGCAACAAAACAGGATTTGAATGCAAGCTACAAGACACTGAACAAAAGAGTAAAGAAGAGTGCCAGAGAAGACAAAAGAAAGTACTATGAAAACATGGCAAGTGAGGCAGAACAAGCTGAAGGCAAAGGAGACCTCGCAACAATCTACCAAACTACTAGGTACCTATCGGGGAAAATTTCAACACAAATTAAGCCAGTGAAGGATGACAAGAGGAAGTCAATCAGCAAAGAGGTGAGGCGAATGGAACAATAGACTGATCGCTTCACATAACTTCTAAGTCAACCGCTACCTGCAACGCGCCCAACAATACCAACGACGGAGACAGAGCTACCAGTGAACACCAACCCACCGACGAAATCAGAAGTCCTGAAGGCAGTCAAGATGCTAACAGCTGGAAAAGCAGCAGGACCAGATGGAATCCCAGCAGAAGCATTGAAAACGGACCCAGAGACAACAGCGGACTTGGTGACGCCACTACTGGAGAAGGTGTGGAAAGAAGGCAAAGTACCAGAGGATTGGAAGAAAGGATATTTATTCAAACTACCTAAGTCAATGCAAGAACTGGCGCGGAATTATGCTCCTGTCCATCCCAAGCAAAATACTAAGTCGCATCATCCTGGAGAGAATCAAACATGCCCTGGATGAAAATCTTCGACCGGAACAGGCTGGATTCAGGAGAAACAAGTCATGCATTGATCAGATCGCCACATTACGGATAATCATTGAACAAAGCTTGGAATGGCAGTCACCTCTCTATCTCAACTTCATCGACTTTGAAAAGTCCTTCGACAGCGTCGATCGAGGGGTGCTTCGGAAACTACTTTGCTACTACGAGGTGCCACCGACAATTATACATCTCATCCAACAGTTGTACGACAATGCTTTAGCCAAGTAATCCACAATGGGAAACTCACGGAATCCTTCGAAGTGAAGACGGGAGTAAGACAAGCTGGCTGCCTACTATCGTCAATGATTTTCCTGAATGCAGTAGATTGGATGATGCGACAAACGGCGGGCAATGAGGAAACAGGCATAAAATGGACCCACACAAAAAACTTGGAGGATCTGGACTTCGCCGATGATATATGTCTGATTTCCCACAAACTGGAATATATGCAAGCGAAAAGCAACAAGTTGGCAGAAGAAGCATCAAAGATAGGACTTCAGGCGAACATAGAGAAAACAGAGGTGAGGAAGATTCCTGGGCAAGAACAACAACAACAGACAAAGATCAGCATAAATGATAGGAACCTGAAAGGAACAACCTATTTTACCTACCTGGGAGTTATCGTTTCAACTACAGGCGGAACCGACGGGGATATCAAAGCAAGAATCGGGAAAGCAAGACAAGCTTTCACTACTCTCAAGTCTGTGTGGAGGTAAACAGCACTCAGCAACAAAAATAAGATTCGGACTTTCAACTCCAATGTGAAGTCAGTGCTATTATACGGAACAGAGACTTGGTGCGTCATAAAGATCATCTCAAAACAATCTACAGACCTTCATTAACAGTTGTCTTCGCTCAATACTCAAGATCAAATGGCCAGAAATGATCAGCAACAGAGATCTCTGGCAGTGAGCGAACAAACCAGGAACCAATTGTGCAACAAATAAGCAGGAAGAAATGGAGGTGGATTTGCTGGTCATACTCTGAGGAAACAATGCATCAAGTGACATCACTAGACAAGCCATTGCTCGAGTGGAAACCGAAAGGGAAGCGGCGAGTTGGTCGTCAGTGCGAGGGTGACTTGGAGGAGGTCATGTGAAGAGGAGATGAAAACGTATGGGCAGACTTGGAGCCAAGTGAAGACTCTAGCAGAGAATCGAAAGCAATGGAGACACACAGCTGAAGTCCTATGTTCCTCTAGGAATTAAAGGAAACAATAATAATAATAACAATAATAATGAATTTGAATTAAGTGACAGAATATAATTATTGTCTACAACACTTCATATTCCAAGGGTACTGAAGCTGTAAATGAAAGTTCAGCTGAAGACTCTCTCTGTCATAACCATCTAAAGGATAATGTAAACGAATTACTAGCCAAGTACTTTAGTTGATGTGTACCTTCGGTCACACATTTCATTTCCT